ATCATTAAGTCAAATGCTGACTGACGTTTTTCATTATTATTGTTAGGTCAATATTTCATAGAGAAAGTGCAATATTTCTTTGAAAATCTCCTTGGTATTTAGCAGATAAACCAAATAAATAGTTATGATGAGCAAGAGCAACTCTTCAAAAATTGTGAATATCTTGTCCCCTGGGTTAGGGGTTCGGGTATTGGGGCATGGCTCTATTGATTATATAGCGAAAATGCATGAATTCTTTGAAAATTTTCTCTGCTCCTTGGTATTTAACATATATACTTAGTGCATGGTTATGATGATCAAGGGTACCTCTTCCAAAATTGTGAAATTTGTGGCCCCATGGTCAGGGGTGTGGGGATCTATTTAATATATAGTGGAGATTCTTTTTTTTTTTTAAGTCTTCTTCTCTGCCCCTGGGTATATAACAGAAAAATTAATTGCATGGCTATGACAAGCAAGGAAATCTTTTCTAAAAGTTTTAAATTCATAACCCTGGGGTCAGGGATTTTGATGTTTGGGTGAGGCTCTTTTGAATATATAGTAGAAATGCATTATTTCTTTGAAAATCTTCTTCTCTGCCAATTGTTATTAAGAAAACATACTAAGTGCATGGTTTTGATGAGCAAGAGTTCTTCTTCCTAAATTCGAATATTTTGGCCCCTGGGTCAGGGGCTTTGGCAATAGGGTGGGGCTATATTGAATCCGTAGTGAAAATGGATTATTTCCTTGAAAATCTTCTTCTCTGCTCCTGGGCATCTAGGAGGCAAATAGAGTATATGAAGTTGTAATAAGCAAGGGTGTTTTTTTTTTAAACCAGATTTTGAAATTCTGTACCCTTTGGTCAGTTTAACTTAAAAGGTCAACTGAATAACAGAATTACACAAGATTTTTTTCTGATATTTAATACTTAAAGTACTTTCATAGTTTTGATGGTCAGGTAAACTTTTAAATATTAGATAAATAAAGATGGGACAAAAATACTTTATTTTTGTACAAAAAAAAACTTCAAAGACTGAGAGAGGCCAATGGAGGGGGAATGAAATGTTTTAACTAATAATGCTCTAAAACTATTGTTTTGTTTAGTCCGCGTGAAGATAGTGACAAATGGAAGAAAGTATAGGAAAATAAATAGATCAAGTTTAAGATTTGTTATTGAGTTCTAATTAATATTTTACTGATCCCTGATTATCCTATTTCTCTTGCTTTTGGGCAACAAAGCTTTTATATTACTTATTAGTTTATTTGTATCGTTACATTAAACTCAGGTGACCGTTAAGGCCCTAGGGCCTCTTGTTTTTAAATGCAAAATTGACTATATTCATAATTGATGAATAGCTCTGATACCAGTGTTAATTAGGATTATTCTCAATCAATAAATGTAAGGAATTCTAATGAAATAAAATGCACACTGGTATTTGCAATGTGCCAGATTACAAAGGTGTCATTTGGTAAAGGGGGGGGGGGGGCTATTCTGCGATAAGTAGTGTAAAATATCTTCAATTTCAATATCGAAAGTAAAACTTTCATTTGAAGAAAGTGTATAAAGGAAAATGTTATATGAATATACGTCATATATCACAACCTAGAAATGGGCAGTAATGTTTATTTAAGCATTTTAGATACAAGTAAAAGCTTTTGACACTGTGTGGAGACAAGCTTTAATGTATAAATTGCAAAAGCTAGACATCACAGGCCAAATTTGAAAAATCATCGACGACTGCCATTATAACACTGAAAATGCTGTAATTGTTAATCAGACCATGTCGTTGGTTTCCCGTACAACAAAGGCGTCAGGCAAGGGGGTGTTCATTCAACCTTTCTATATCTTGTTTTCATCAAAGACTTGTTAAACGTGCTACAACTTCTGAACTCAAACCACACTGTAAATTTCGATAACAATTACCATTCTCCGCCTCTCTCAGATGAATTGCCTGCATTGCCCTATCCTACAGAAGCGTATAGGTCTCTTCATGTACAATGTCTTATTTTTAGGTGTCTTGACAACAAAAAGTGTGATTCTTATTTACACACTTAATTAGGTGTTTTAACATAATGCAAAGCACCTTTTTTATTTGATGGATTTAATTGCTATAAATTATATCGACTTAGAAAATGTTGATTTGAAAATACAGGGTGTCCGAAAAGAAAGGTAACATTTTCGTACTTTTGGAATGCTGATTTAATGTTGAAGAATTTACATCAAAAAATGTACACAAAACAAAGACTAAGTTTGTTCTGGTAGCATAATTTAGTTAATATCTCAAATAATGTTATTTTGTCATTTCAATAATTAATGACATTCTCTAAATGACGTCCTTTCATCAGCTTCTCTTCTCTAACTCGCACTTTGAAATTGTTAATAACATTTTTACACATTTCTTCACTGATCTTCTTAACTTCCCGTTTTATATTTGACAAAAGCATATTTGTATATGCATAGAGGTTCTATTGATATAAATATGCTAGTATTTCTAGGAGGAAAGTGTGAATATATTGTTTTCGAACTAACTTGGTGGGGTGGGAATTCTGATGAAACTTCCACATCACTTGGAATTTACTGTCGGCAAATGTACATTGTATCATGTATGAAGTGTCAAATACTTGTATTTGCTATATGCCCAAAAAGAGAGACTAAAACGTTTTGAAGAAGCAGGGGGTGAGGGAGAAATGAGTCGATAGATTGCCCCCATGAAGCAGATATCAATTAACATCATTCTTGTCAAGAAGAAATCAAATATATGCAAGTCTAGTAAAATTTTTATGATTTATTCTATTAATAAAAATCCTCAATCTCTCTTTGAAATAAAAAAAGTATCTGCTTGAAAAGTATACATAATAAATATTGGAATGAGTAAAATAATTAACGACATTCAGACCCCCCCCCCCCCGGTTTCAATGTTCTATTCCTAAATACATGCAGTACTAGACCAATTTGTGGATACACAGAAAGTAACACTATTATGAATGTGACACTGACCATGTAATCTCTATAAATACTTGATGTTTGTCAGCATGTGATAGGATCCGCCATAGCTCGACGTGAACTTCCATATTCTTGAGACCCCCCTCCACTCAAAAATATAATTATAAAAAGTGAATCATGACAGAATATCAGGTAAAAATCAGTATCAACAGATAAGATCTAACTTCTTTTTACTTAAATAAGCCCCCCCCCCCCCCAAAAAAAAACGGAAACCCTGGCCCTGAGCCACATCTATCACAATTTTGGAAGAGGCGCCTTCCTCATCATAATCATGCATTTAGTTCATCGGCTTAAAACCCAGGAGCAGAGGAGAAGATTTTCAAAGAATTAATGCATTTTCCACTATATAATCATTAGATCCCCGCCCTAACACCAGAATCCTTGACTCAGGGCCCATGAAATTCACAATTTTGGGAGAGGCACCCTTTCTCATCATAACTATGTACTAAGTGCATCGGTTTAATACCCAGGAGCAGAGGAGTATATTTTCAAAGCATTAATTCATTTTCAGTATATAATCATTAGAGCCCCACCCTAGCACCAGAATCCCTGACCCAGGGGCCCTGAAATTCACAATTTTGGAAGAGGCACCCTACCTCATCATAAGTATGTACTTAATTTGTTTGTTTAAACCCAGGAGAAAAGAATTAAGATTTTCAAAGAATTAATACACTTTCACTATATGATACATATAGCCCCATGCACCCTAGCACCAGAACCCCTGACCCTGGGACCATGAATTTCACAATTTTGGTAGAGAGGTCAATGCTTATTACAATCATGCCACCAGTTCGACTGCTTGGTGTCCAGGAGTAAAGAAGATTTTTAAAGATTGCATTAATTTTGGTGGTTTTAGCCCAATTCTCAGGCCCCAAGGGTCAGGGTCCATGAAATTCACAATTTTTATTCCCCGGCCTTAACCCATCTAGATGATATTCTCAAAATTGGTTGAAATTGGTTCAGCGGTTTCAGAGAAGAAACTGAAAATGTTCAAATGTTAACATAGCTGCAGAACTGTAGCATTATGGTTTTATATTTTAGCCTTTGACCATAACTACCCATCCTGTAATGCAAATATGGTGCAATTTTTGGTGCAAGATTTTTTGCGCACGATTGGGGAGGTTTTCTCCACTTCCAAACACTGGTAAATTAACTACCTTTGAAGTTTCACTCCCTAATTCTAGACATATTCTTTAACCTACCTGCATATTTCATCCACCTCCTAACCCATTACAGTCTTCTCTACAGACCAATAAACTCGCTCGTTTCGAATTTTCTGCCCTCCGACAAAAAAAATCAAAACAAGTGAGTTTATCGGTCTGTAGAGACGACCATAAAGGATTAAGAGGTGGATAAAATATACAGGTAGGTTAAAGAATATTTCTAGAATTAGGGAGTGAAAGGTAGTTGATTGACCAATGCTGGAAAGTGGAGAAAATTCTCCCCGACCGTGCACCATATTTGCATTACGGGATCTGTAGCGTTATGGTCAAAGACTATAGTATAAAAATCCATAATGCTACAGTTCTGCAGCTTATGTTAACGCACGACGAACACCGACGAACAAAAACGGATAGCAATAGGTCACATACTTTTGAAAAAGTTTAACCTTCGCCATAACTTTTGAACAATTGGTGCAAGGACTTTTATTTTTTACATGTGTATTTCTTATTACAAGATCTCCCCCTGCTTACCATTAATTTTGACCTTGATCTTGGAGTTTGACCCGCTTTTAGAAAATATTATCTTTGACCATAACTTTTGAATGGTTGGTGCTTGGGCTTTCATATTTTCCAGGTATATCCATTGACACAAGTCCTTTCTTTGAGTCACAACATGACTGTTTGATCTCTTGACCTTGACTTTGGAGTTTGAATTGCATTTGATAAACTTAAACCTTCGCCATAAGCTGCCATACGGGGGCATCAGTGTTTCACAAACTGATCTTGTTATTGATGCATTAGAAGATGATGCCAATGAAAAGTAAGAATAGGTGTAGTACGTCACAACAAACACAAAACAGATTAACATGATTGTTTTATTTGGGAAGGGTAAGAAAAAATGATGTATCACAGAAAAAATCACAATGCCTACCATACATAAGGCAAAGGTTATTATACAACGTCATTACCATTTGCTGCCAAAACAAATAATAACAAAAATACTCAATGCAACACACTATATAACAAAGGAAATAAATTAAAATCTAACTACAATATTTCTCATTTTCTGAGAATGAATACACTTTTAGGTTTAAAGAATACAGTTATTTTTGCTCAAATACATCAGTACAAAATTTTTCTATGCTCATCATCTGGTTCTATTATATTGAGAAAAGGTACAAAGACGTCACATAACTTTATCAACGCATAAGCAGCATGTACATGTAATGTTAAAAAAGTAAATGATGAATTTAAAGAATAAATTTATATACAGGACATAAAACATTAATACAATCAAATTGAGAATTTGATATAATGCTTGGGACTGGTTTGGTGAATTGACATTTAATTGGCTAATTAATGACGATAGCAGAATGGAAATTATACACATCTATTCCCATATCCATTCACCCTCATCTTAGTGATGTTTGCATTTATTACTTGATTATGACTTTAAAGCACACTTACACCTATTTCACTCAATTATCCGTATACCAATAACAGAAATTTACACCTTATGGGCACCTTCAGCAATTTCTTTCAATATATTATTTCAGGTCAAAAAATGTACCGTAACTTAATTAACAAATGTCACATAATGACCTCTAGCTTCCAATGGTAGCAATATGAAATGACAGTAGCCCTAATGAGTATTAAGATAAAATCATATGGTAGACAATACTTTGCTCTTGATAGCTCAAACTTGGAAAATCAAAATTAACACATTTTCTAGATTTGTGCACAGTAAATCATATACACATTGGAAAGTGCCAGGGAAGAACAATTTTGATTTGTTATAAAAGTAATTCATTATCTATTAAGTTCATAATATGTTTTTAAAGCACAGGGAATGAAAATCACATCACTATGTGCGTGAATTCATTATAAGTGTGTTCACTGTAACAGTGTTTTACTTTCTGATCTAAAATGGAAATACAGTTGAACTTTGGTATCTCGAACACTGATATCTCAAATGCTATAAATATGTCAAAGTGATTTGGAAGTCCCATCTTCTTATTCTTTCAGTATTTTACCCTTGATATCTCTAATCCGCGGATATCTCGAAGTTTTTTTCTTGGTCCCATCAAGTTCGAGATAACGATGTTTGACTGTATAATGATCACTTAAGGTGAAACTTGGCTTTGTCTGACTACAATAATGATCCTAATCAATCACTTCAATATTCTATAATCAAATAAGATATTCACTCTAGAGAAGATTTCAGTGGAAATTCAGAGAAAATCAAGACAACTGTACCTTTCAAATATTGATCATTTTCAAATCCTGTTGACTTAATGACAATTTGTTTATAAACAAATACTAGTATCATGTTTTACAGATATTCAATAATAATAGTCTTATAGGAAAAATCTTATATCATAAAGGCACCACATTACTTTTCCATATACATTCATTGTACTGTTTTTCTATTTAAACAAGTGTTATTTAGTAGTGCTTACATATATAATAAAACATATTAACATAATGCAGATCACTACTTTCATTGGTATGAAAGGCCATATTGCCGAAATCAAGGAAATTCAGATAGCTGGATGCTTCACTATCCCAACGATTTTGACTGGGAACAATGCAAATTGTCCGGATAAATGAGGTTCTACTGTAGATATACAGACATGTCTTGATAATATTTTGCTATTTTCTAACTCATTCAACTGAACACTGTTTGTAATATCAACTATAACATACCCCTACTCATTTTCAACACCTGAACATTAACCTGAAAATTAAAAAAATGGAGGCAAAGCATTAATATCTTTCTATACCCTGTGCAGATTACATGGTTATAGGATCATTATAAGCACATTTACCATTTATAATAAAAAAAAATTAAACCACCTAAATTTAAACAATGATAATCAATGATATGAATCAACCTTTCCAAGCAAGCAATATTTATTATACCAGTAGTACATTGTTGAAGACGAAAAGGCAGCAATCTAATGGTGATTAACTGCATATGATACAAAATACATGATGACCAAGCCAATTTTTAAATATCTTATTAAATATTTTATAACCTTAGAAAAAATACCAGATGCACATGTATGTGTACAAATAAGTTTCTGCAATCAAAAAACTCTTTCATTGTAGTCCTCAATCTCACAAAGATTACTCGAAGAAAGGTGATTCCTCAATACAACATAAATAATTTGTTGGAAAAATAATGCACTGACATTTAATGAAATAAATTAGCATGGTAAAAGCAAATATCACAATGGCTGATTTTATGGATTGGTCACATTTAACCTGCACTGGACTTCATATAAAGCAATGTATCATCCTGTCTCAGATAACCCACCTAGAGACCCTTAAATACTTTTTTAGTCAAACCCTGAGACACAACCAGGGTCATTTGAGACAGATTGAGTTACAAATGGGACTCTTGAGAAAGTTAAAATAATTAAAAATGGTTTAAACGAACATGCATTCATTAGCTAACTGCTATGTCTTCTGAATCTTCACCACTTTCAATGTCCATGAGTTGAAGATTTTCGTCTTCGTTTTCACTGTGCATTGCCTTTTCCTCTAAACTTTCACTTTGATCCTGTACGTTGTCATCTTTACTTTCATTTTCTTTTTTGCTTTCATCAACAACATGCTTGCTGTTTTGCTGTGACATATACTGCCAGTTTTGTCGATTCTTTTTACAACCATCTAACAAAGGTTGCAGTCTTGGAGAAATCTCTGCTATAGCCTGATTAAGGAAAAAGATGTACGTCATTTAAGTCTAATGAATATGTACCAAATGAAGTAGTCACAGGTAATACTGTAAACCAACTTTTATTCGCGTGTGAGAATTATTCGCAAGTTTCGCGACCTACTTTAACTCGCGAATATTAATCACCGCGAACCATTTATTTTGCTTTGTATTTGTATAGAATAATTCCTCAGATGCAAAAATTAATCGTCACCGATTGATTTCAAACTGACGAATCGCGAATAAAAGATGACGCGAATAATAGTTGGTTTACAGTATTTGACATATACTATGAGAGGGAGAAAATTCAGGCAAAAGACTGGGATTAAGGGAATCCAAGTGTATAGCGGTGATCCAACTGAACTATTTGGTCCTCAAAGCTTGAACTTGTCTGACAGCCCCCCCCCCCCCCCCCCAAAAAAAAACAAGTATGTTCATTAGCTCTTCTCTAAAGGTTTTTATACCTGTCATCAGTCAAAAAAAGAGATCTGATGGCAGGTGTAATAAAAAGAGTATGTATTACAACAGATCAGGGCAGAAACCCACAGCAAACCAGAGCTAAGAACTTAAGATCTCTGATTTATAATGTTATATTAAACTGGCTGATATAAAAATCTTAAAAGTAGGTATTTTTAACAATACATGTATATACAAAGCCTTGGCCTCAAGACCTTTTGACCTCAAATCCATACCACTCTTCTTATTTAAAGTCAATTGGGTACTTGATAAAGAATTTCACTGCAAAAGCTCAAGAACTTTCAGAGATATCATTCAGAAACTGAAGTGTACCATTTCATACCATAACCAAATTTGTGGCTTTGACCTTTACCTTTTGGAATCAAAGTCAATAGGGGGTCTTTCTAAATTTAGAGTCACAACCTTATGTTTTACTGCAAAAGCTCAAAGAAAACTAAGGTAATTATCTGGAAACAATGTTTTGCAGTATATGAATTTCTGACCTATGCCTTTTAACTTTGGAACTCAAAATCAATAGGAGTCCTTCTTAAATTATACAGAGTCATCACCTTAATTTTCAATGCAAGAGCTTCAGAACTGAAGTTATTACATGTATCTGTAAGTAAATTTTTGCAAAGTATGATTTTCTCACCCTGGCATTTGATCTCTTAACCTCAAAATCAACAGAGGTCTTATAAGTTAGAGTCATCATCACCTTAAGTTTCATTGGAAAACTCCAAGAGATCTAATGTTATCATCTGGAAACCATTTTATGCAATCTATGAATTTCTGACCTTGACCTTTTGACCTCAAAATTAATGGTGGTCTTCAAGTCAGAGTTATGATTTAAAATTGACACAGACAGACAGAATAATGGGACAGACCCAAATTAATGTCCCCTGATTTTTAGTGAAGCAGGTAACAAGAAAAAAGTGAGACATTAAATACATATTTCTTTGTTTCGAGAAAGAGATCACACTCACATTGTACACTGGTAAACAAATGGAGTCAATGAATCCAACTTGCATATCTGGAAGATGGTCCTTTTTATCTCTGTCCATCATTTCCTAAAAATCATGAAAGAGAGCTCAACTTAGTAATGATTTAACATCATAGAAATCACCAGAGAGAACTTATCGCAGTATGATTTGCTACATTATATACATACATCATAGAGATCAACAGATAGATCGCATCTCAGTACAATTAACTATATTACATACTGTACATCATAGAGATCACTAGAGAGTCCCAGCTCATCTTAGTACGATCAGCTACATTATACACACTTAAGTAACATTATGGAATACCTGATGGGATTTTAGTCTCAAATACTGATCACTTATAATACAGCACAAATATCTATTGATTCATCTTACATATATGACATCATCAAAAATTATCTGTAAGACCTTTATGAAGAAGCATTAACCTTGTTCTAGAGTTACTAATGTAGATATATGGATGGCACAATTGAACTATTCTGAGGAATTTACCGAAACAAGAGAAACACTGAGGTAGACACTGGAGACCATAAATGTCTGGCAATTATATGTATAATATCACAAATATGTGAAATCCTATTCAGACTTTTATTCATTTATCAGAAAATACCAGACAATGTTATGTCCTATAATGCTTACAAATTATACACTACAAAAAACTTAATGTCTATAGCTACACACAATTGTATCAGCCTTTGAAGCTACCTAAGTTATATCAAGCATTCAAACACAGCTTTAAAAAGCCAGTGTGACATGAACAATACAATTTTTCTTACTGCAGGTTTGATGTTCAGCTGTGTTTTTTCCAAGTCTCCCTGTTCAAAGAATTCACTGGCTATCAGATCAGCAACCTTTAATAAAAGTCATCCCATTTTACTACAAAAGATCATCAAAGTACCTTGAAGTTCTCATTAACTGTTACTTTGAATAATTGGGGGGGGGGGGGGGGGATAAACTAAACAACGCTGACCAACCACTGCTGCATTAAATATATTTTATTTTAATCTTGGACCTCTCTTTATGTTTATCTTGGTCTGTATCATGAATGAAACCTAAATAGCTAACCATGGCCTTTATGTAGTTCATATAACAACCTTAACCTTATGAGTTTTGATGTTGACCTCAGGCCAAGTGAACTCCTAAATCTGCAAGTTAATTCTTATAACCATTCGGGATGTGCGATTTTATCGGTATACCGGTATATCGTGATTTTTTATTGCGTGATACGTATCCTCATACAGAGACTAAAATACTGGTATTTGGTACATAATTATAAATTCCAGAAATTCTTCATTTATTTCTTCGAACTGTTAAATAAGAATTACAGGAAGTCTAAAAAATGTTGAAAAAAGTTAAACTGTGGCATCCAAACATGCTTTATATTATATAAGTAAAAATGAAAAAAGTGAAGTTATGTTTTTACAGCATATTTGGAAGAAAAATTATAGAAATTCATTTGAAATTGTAGTAAAAATCCTGTGTAAATATATCACGATATTATCGTGATATTTTGGGGGAAAATCGATATATATCACGATACGAAATTTTTGGCGATACCCATCCCTAATAACCATAATCCTTTTGTAGAAAAAAAATGAAGTCAATACCTTGAAAAATAATCAAATCTGATTTGAGTGATTACTATGTTTTCTTTTGTAGATTCCTAACTTTTTTGTGGCAAATACAATTTTTGAAGGAATTGTGCATTACTCAAGATTACTAGTATTGCAAAGACAAATAAGCTTGAGCTACAGCATCTTCAGAATTTGATTTAATGACAATATTCTATTCCTAATTGAATACCTTGAGAGCCGACTTGGTAATCAAGCAATCTTAATTCAATATACGTAACAGTGTTAAAGTATATTTGAAAATGGTTTTAAATTACTTATTTTAGAGAAGTTAACCAAAAATACACAGAAGGTCATATGTAGACAAACACATGTAACACACAAATTGACACAATAAAAAAATGCTAATCCAATTTGTCCATATTTGGGAAAGGCAGTAAATTTGGTTAAGGATGGTAATGATGTAAACCTACATTACATATTGAGAAGTTTGGAACTGCAGGCTAAGGCTTATTTAAAAGACTTGAATTCCAAAATGTGAAGTTCATATTAAAATATTTTAAAACAGACGAACAATAAATTGGCAGTGTCATAAATCATTTTATTGAAAACTAGTATTAAACCTAATTTTTATGTAATGCTGCCAATATTTTACCTTTAGCTGCACTTCCCAAGGCTTAGTAATGGCGGACACGTCAGATGCAGTCATCATCATGGATCTCAGCAAATCTCGATCTCGTTCTCGATTCCAATCTGTCTCACTGCTCTTCACCAAGTTAAAGAATTCCCCTCTAAACCTATCAGAGAAAAATCTTCTTCATCAGGTTTTAATTGGCATTTTTTTAATAAGCTAAGTCAAGCACCCCCTTGGAAATTTGTATTACAGTAATTTGTATTCGTAACAAGGCCTCCGTCATTTTTATAACTTGTTAAGACTATTTTTTTGTCTTATTAGGGCCTGCTTAAGCTGATGAGATGAGAGATCTTATGGCTCTATGAGGGGTTAATTATCCATTTTAATGACATATTGGTGTATGAAACACATCCTCTGGAGATGATGGTCAATGCTCGGCTCAGTTTTCACAATTACCATTAAGTCCCTTGCCAATCCAATTAAATCGAAAGGCTTTGGGTGTCATGAAATCTAATTTTATAACTAAAGCATCCACTGACGTAGTGGAGCCAGAGCTGTAAAGAGGGTTACTATCAACTTCAGGTCTCAGTAACTATAGCTCCAATCAGTGGATCACACATGATATACCTAAATTTTCTAAATTGTCTTTTGTATCAGTTTGTAGGTATTAATTACTGTTAAAACATGTTGTTTAACCCAGCCTGTCCAGTAGTTTTTAATGATATTGATTTAATCACCATTGAGTATCGTGAACCGTTTACATTACATATCTTACCCCATCTATCCTTTGCAGTTTTCTACAAATTCTATTAAAGAACAAATTAAACACTGTAAATTAAGTGATAGTTCAGACTTACTTCTGATTATGGTGACAATGCAGAATGAATTTAACTTGTATATATATATATGTCAACTGGTCTGAAACAATTTCAATGCCTCTGATACCTTAGACATGTTTACATTGTTTTCTAGTTATTTTCCCACCTTTTTGAAATTGAAAAATCATATATAAAAAGTGTTCTGATCAAACATAGACAGAATATTAATAATGTTTTAAAGACCTCTTGTGTACATGAAAAAGGTGTACTTTAAAATAAATATCAAGAAGATGTGCATTTCGATACCATTAACCGACTAATCGGTCAGAACATATCTTGCAGTTAACCAATTCACAATTCTGTATACAATTGCCATCCCTAAATAATAATATTTCCATTTGCACCGATTCATGATTGCTTTGAGTTCTTATACCAGTAATAGAATATTCTCTCCAACTTGACTGTGCTAAAATAAGTACAATTACAGATCTCAATAGGAGGTTCCAAGATGCTTACTTGAAATACAAAGCCAGATCTGTGGCCAATATGGCATTCTCCAGCACTTGTATGACCTCTTCATACTCGTCCTGTCTGATGTTACATAGAATGTCATTGCCCTATAAAAGAGAACATTTGTTCAAGTTATCAACTGGGAAGAACTACGTATATTAAAAGCATATTTTTGCCCTCAGTAAATGGAATTTACCGAGTCCAAGCTTGCCTCAAAAATATATTCACATAGTTCATTGATATTATAATTCTAAACATTATATATAAAAAAATAAAGCTGGGGCAGACCTGCGCTTGATGACTTTTAATAAAAATATCAATGTAAAATACACTATTTTTCTCTCAAAATCATCAAAATTTTGAAATTACGTCTTCTTCTCAAAATCATATCTAACAAAAGGCATCATGGCTGATGAAAATAGGTATTATTTTGATTGTTTTCAAGTTTGTGGATATCCCCCTCATTTAGGTCATAATTATAGTTTTCTCCATCAAAGTTTGATTTCAAGGGCAGATACTGGTCATTACAGAATATAATCCTGTCAGAAAACAACAGAACTATGACTCTTTCTCACTCAAAATCAAATTAATGGGTTAAATGGATAAACAGGTATGGAAAGTCATGAAAATATACATAAATTTTACTTTCTCTTTAGTATATGCTACCTTAGATCATTGTCTGGAAGAATATCTGTCATTTTAAATATACCTATTTTTTAAATATTAAACAATACTAACCTTTGTACTAAGAATCATGATGCACTGGTCAAAATGGTGGTGTTCTAGTGTAGAGGTAGAGTAAAGATCAGCCAGGGGAGAGGAGGTCCTTGAATCAGAAAATCACAGACTGCTAGGATCATTTAAATTACTTTTCCAATTAAGATTGGCTTTATATTTTTCCAGTAAGTACACTAGCATACCAATATCTATTGTTGAAATATAAGACAAATAAGAGGCAACACAGGCAGAGGAGTGTTAATAGCATGCATTCTCTTTTATGTACTAATGAAATGGTTTGCACCGGATCCATACTTGATCTGGAACTGGTTGTTGGTGCCCCGGTGATCCAGATCGTGACAGAGACAAGCAATAATCAGAGCCAGTTCTTCTGTTTCTGTGAGTATATTGTCCATTTGACCAGACTGAAACATAAGGCTTGGGTAAAATGTTGAAATGTCATTGAATGTAAAATATATGTGTACCCTGGGATATTAAACATGTAACAATGATGCTTGTGCCATGAGCACATTGCAGGTATCTACCAGTATATCCTCAAATTTAAAACTGAGATAGATCTTGTATAAAAATTGGCACAGTAGCCTTAATAAAGTGAGAATAGAGGCAAAATATAAAGATATTTTACAATTACTGTAAAACAATGAAATGAAGCAAACTTACTTTTAGCATACAGAACATTGTTTGACAGACATTGAAGGCATGTCTCCAGTTGTGATACGTCACATCTCTGTAATTCTTCTTCACACTCAGCAGCCAACGACAAAATGTCTGTGAAAAAAAAACACAACAGAACTGTAAAAAGCAAAAAACAAAGGGAAAGCTGTCAAGGTGACAGCAAACAGGGTTTTATTTTGTATGAATAGAACTGGTACAGTAAAACTCGGTTATAACCAAGTCACTGGGACCTATGAAATAACTTAGTTATATCTGTTATTTGTTATATCCGTATAAGAAATTCGAAATTTATATGGCTGGGAATCCAAGAAAAATTTGCTACATCCATGAATTCACTATATCCGTGTTTGCATTAAACAAGTTTTACTGTATTTCTCACCTAAAATACCAGTATAAATACTTTCTATTCTGAAAACTGTAGGAGGTGACATATCTTATGAAGTTATGAAGTTATCTTATGAACATATTTTGCACTAAATGAAAAAGGAGACGATAACAAAGAGTGATCAACCTCAAAAAAATCTACAAATACAAATTGGTGAACGGGGCATTAAACATAGACGCCCTGGAAATTCCAGAGGTGGGATTAGGTGCCTAGGAGGAGTAAGCATTCCCTGTTGACCAGTCACTGACCGTGAGCCTATGTATTGATCAGATAGATGGAACATTCTGTAGTCAAATTTAGTACAAAAGGCCTAACAATATTTATGAAACATGTCAGCCAAAATATGGCCCAATGATAAGTTATATTTGTTAAGAAGTTCATTATAACGACCATAGAATTTACAATATGCCCACTTTAAACAAGTTTGCTGAAATCCCTGTAACTTCAACTCATCTGTTAGTAGCCTGCCTCAATTTAAAAATTGATCATACTCAAATAAGTTGGGAGATATAAACACCATATGCAGATGATAGTGAAATTTTAATACATAAATAAGGAAAGTTGACAATGGAAAAACTAAAGTCGTCTTGTTTGTCATACAATTTAGTTTTTAATTGGCCCTTATCCTCTATAGTCAGTAAAGCATCCAAATATGAAACAGATGTGGCAGACTCTATGGTGTCTTTTATTTCAAGTTCACTGGGATATATCGAATTGACACATGAATGGAAGTAACTACAGTTGAACTTCTGTATCTTGAACACCAATATCTCGAATACCATTGGTATGTCAAAGTAATTTGGAATTCCCAACAACTTATTATTTAAGTATTTCACCCTTGATATCTTGAATCCTCGGATATCTTGAAGTTTTTTCTCGGTCCCATCAAGTTCGAGATAAAGAGGATTGCCTGTATTGTTAATTTATAAAACATCAATATATCTTAATGTTGCATTGAAGGCCACAACAAGTGTTTTCTACTTCTCTTTTCTACTTCTACTTTTTACTTGTAGAATTTTGAATAAAATCTGCTTCATGGGAGCATAAAAAAAACAGGTCAGTTAATAAAGGAATACAATTAGTGCCCATTGAAATTCCAACAGTTTGTTGGAAGACCTGGTCTCCAAAGACTACTCACCCCAGTAAATGTTGTTAATGAGGAATGCAATCATCCTTTTGAATCAATTTCAGAGTACTTGTGTGTAGAATCAGAGGGATTTTTAATAATGAAATTTTGTTAATGACCAATCACAAGATACCAAAATTTCCAAGTTCCATTTCATTGAAGAAGCAGTTGTCTATGATATCAAAAAGCCTAGTTTTTGATTTACCATGAGGAATGGTTGTATAAAGCGTAGGAAAGTTGTACGTTTTGATGGTATTGACTTTTGAAGAATTTGGTGATTTTAAGCTTTCTAAAAGATCTTTGGGGTTTTTGAGAATCCACATCTGATTAACACCACAAAATGACTAAGTTCAACAACTTGTATTTTTTCACAAATAATCAAAAATTCAAGTACTATGCACATCTCTGATATATGTACAATTGATCTGCAAAATAAGAATTTCTTATCTTGAAAACTGTGGGAGGAGTTATCCAAACAAACAGTGTACAATATATGCAATATTTTTGCAAAAAAATTGACTAAGTTCAACAGCTGGTATTTTTCTCATAAATTATCAAAAAATCGAAATCCAAGAACTTTGCATGTACAATTGATCTGCAAATTAAATAAGAACTTCCTGTCTTGAAAACTGTAGGAGGAGTTATCCGGACATCCAATTATTTTCACCATTTCAATAACCACATTTTTCCTATGGAAAACTCGGTTAGAAAAAAAAACTAGCAATGACAATTTGTTTTAAAGAGTAAATGGGAAAAGAGAGTTGTAACTATGGTTCCAAATCTGTGAGAGGGAAAAACATTTCTGTCTATTCAAACAGTTCTGAATCCAGGAATCAGAATTTCTTTTAAAGTTTTTTTCAATCAGGATTTTATTGTCAAACTAATGGAATGTCTTGATAGTGGTATTTTAGGCATTTTTATCAAATGGGTTATTTACCATGACAAATTAAGTATAGATCATTGCATGTGTAGGGTGTGATAGTGCACATCCTAACTGTATTTTACCAAAGCAAAATGGGAGAAAATCCCCTCAATCAATAAGAAAGAGGCTTTATTCAGTATTAGAAAGTAAATCTGGCAAGAACACGCTGTAATGGCTAATTCTGTACTGTGATCAATAAAACATGAACAATTTCAGGTTTGTTCTTATCCAGCTAACCTTAAACAAAACTTGTTAATCCTGATATATGGTCTTCAAGCCTTCAAGCATGGGAATTAAGCCAGAGATCTAAAATTGGTGGGAAATGATTTTATTCTACAAATCCTTCTCAGCAAAAGTAAAACCTTTAACTTGCATGTTTTGTGATTTCCAAATATGCATCACAGTTGTATCTAATTGCAAATGGGATATCTTGTGAATCCTAAGCCACAATACACGTAATTCACTATTTTTAGCACATTAATACTTATCAGTTGCACAAATTCATGGACTTGTTTTGTCTGCATAGATGGCAGGTGTAAAGGATATTTTTATCATCCAGAATTATCTAGCATGACAATTTATCAAGCATAACCAAAAATGGGGAAAGAAATGAAAATGACAAAATTCAGAATTTGATATATGTTGCTGCTCAGCAATGTGTTTGTCACTTATATCTACTCCAGATAAAAATGCGTGACTTCAATGCATCAGCAATAACTCATTTGAGCAATTTTGAATAAAAAACAGTTACACTTCAGATTGATTGTGTGTAAAATCATCTCAAGAAATATGTTTAATTTAAAATGCAAACTGTTCCAAATAACACAATTTACCTGCGTTGTTATAACTTTGTCTCAAGTGTAAGCCTTTTTCAGTTATACTACTATAATAACATGTATAGTTATACAACTATAATAACATGTATATCTCCCAAACAAACTTTCAACTCTCTTCCTGCACTTTGCAGCCAATGATTTTCGTTTTCATGTCATCTCTAATTCAGATTTTTTCTAAAAATAATTTTATCAACTTTGCTCTTTGCAAAAGCATATAGTCCTCTAAATCTCCTCTAAAAAACTGATTAAAATTTCACTAAAAAAAAAAAGATTATTTAAAATTTTCCCCAAATGAAATGCCCTATCAAAGAAAAAATAGCACTCAGATTTTTAAAATAAAATAATATTGTAATTTTTAAACAAGAGGCCCATGGACCACAATGTTCACCTGAGTCACTTAGGACCTTCTGTTCTTTATCAGTATATTTTTTCCTTATATATTCCTAGGTAAGATTAAGATCACATATTGCAGCCCCATCCTATTTTATAGGGTCATAATTTGAACAAACTTGAATCTACACTTTCTGAGGATGCTTCCATATAAATATGACTAATCATGGCTTTGCAGTTCTTGAGATGGATTTTTTAAAAGATTTCTCCCATATTTTCCTATGTAAAACTTTGATCACTCATTGGCCCCACCCAAACCCCAGGAGTCAAAATTTGAACAAAAGGAATTTACACTATGTTAGGAAGCTTTCACATAAGTTTCTTTTCTGGTCCAGTGGTTCTTGAGATTTTTAAATGAACCCATCCAATTTTCACTTTTTAAAATAAAAAAATATCTCCCCTTTGAAGAGGGAGTGGTCTTTCATTTGAAAAAAATTGAATCACTTTCACCTAAGGATACTCTGTGCCAAGTTCGGCTGAAATTTGTCCAGTGGTTCTTGAAAAGAAGATGAAAATGTGAAAAGTTAAGACAAAGACGATGACAATGATAGACAATGGACAAATTTCAATGAGAACAGCTCACTTGAGCCTTTGGCTCAGGTGAGCTAAATATCCACAAATTTGGCTTACCTCATAGTTGATTCTGAACCTTTCCAGCAGATTAAGGTCTATAAACATCCTGATACTGGCTTTTAGCGTATCATCATCATCCAGTCCAAAGTCACTGAAGCTAAAGTCCAGAAGATTGTATGTATAGGTTGATGGGATAACCATTGTCTGTAAATGTACAATAGATCTATTAATAGTAGAATAATATATTATGATAAAAATATTACACATTTACTGGGTTCGAGAGCAACATGTGCTTTGTCTACCCAAGAGCCAACCAGTTTGGTTTGAGGATTTAGTTAAACTCATTCTCCCCAGTCAATAAATGTTTTGTTATACCTTTTACGACAAAAAAGTATAGCTGCACATATGTATGTAGCTCACAGCTCTGAAAAAATTTGGAATGAAGCATTTTTTTTTTAATCACAAGCCTTTATCTATGTTTTTCATGGTTTTCTATCCAACTTACTGATCATGTTAATTTCACCTTTACGTTATTTTCATGGATTTATTCGATTGTGAAAATGGATGCAATACAACAGCTTCAAAAATAAGGTTGTATATGGTAACATGTTTGGATCCTAAAAGAAATGTTCCTCAAATTTTCATTTATTTATTAAAACTGCAGCAACAGATGTAAACCATTCCTTACAACCATCACAATGCATGTATTGCCAACATTACTAAATACAAATCCAACCTTCATCCAGCTGTGATGCATATATGTATACAAACATGCAAGATGTACTTGTGGTAACCTTGATCTTTACAGTATCATGGAGAAGAGGAAGGCATCATATGGGGGTGAAATATTTACTTCATCTGATGCATATAAAAACTGTGTACAAGAAATCAAAAGGTAAACTGCGTCTATGATCAAGCAGTAATTTCAGTACAGACATTCTTTTATTGAGATAAATATTCCTTATTTTCAAATGAATATTGCTTCAACAGACAGAAAACATTAGCTTTTCATTAGCAATTCAGCCCAGTTTTAATTTAAGTCTAGACATATAAAAAAAAAATAGAATTTTTTGAGTGTGGAAGTGACTCCTGCCTAGCAAAATTAATGAAGTTCTCTTCCCTTATTGAAGTTATCTGTCCTTTACAGGCATTTCCTACTTTGTAGAGTTTTGACTTTTTTGATTTCACACTTTACATCAACTTTAATATACACAAAGATATTACCTTGGAAACATTTCTCTCTCCTATGTTTTATAAATTTTCATAAGATACCAAATCACACAGTGAAACCTGGAATTTCCCTCAAGCTTGCATGCATTATAAATCATGCAATTCAGCTTTCATTTTGCTTCTCTCCTATAGGATGTTCCAGTAGTGTTCTGCTTTGTATTTTTTTTTTTAAATGAATTATGCTTTTTTTTCTGCTCCACTCCTCACTATGCTACAGTGTTGAACTGTTTAATTCCTTGCTACTTAGTTGTAAGTAAGATTATACTCTGTACTTCATACTATACACTTTTCATTTCATGCTAACTTTGCAAACTTTATTCCATCTTTTTGCAGCAGTATGATTATGCTCCATGCTGTATGACAGCGTTCCCTACCTTGAGTCTGCGGGCTTCATCAGCTGGAGCAGAGGCATGATAAGACAAACATTCCAGGGCAATACGCTGCTTAGCCATTGCTTTCATTACAGTTTCATATGTCTGTGTATTGTTGATTCCTAACCCACAGAATATAGCAAAAGCCTGAAAAATATAAGCAAAATTACCTACAACTTTCAAAGTATTCATTCCTTTTTAATATGTAGCGCAATGCACCAATGTTTTACAATTTATCTCTTTAACATCAAAGCCATATGCACTTATTTGATAAGATCACAATCAATAAATATTAAATAAACAGCAGAACCTTGATAAGAGCTGATGTTTTACAATCTTTTTACATTCTTTTGATTGTAGGAAATTGCCACAATACACATCGACGTGTCATAAAACCCAAATACTTCAGAATTATTTTGAAAGCATTGGAAGCAGCGATAACTATGATAAAAAATGCTGCTCTACACAGTTTTTCAATTTCATCTGCACTGCAACTAAATCTGCATCTTTTCTCATACTGTGACTCCTACATTTTTCATAAGATGCTTTCCATGTTTGATCAAAAAATATATCCTTCCTGTCTATCTAACCCACAACTTCCTGGAGAGGCCTTGACATATTATAAATTACTTTTTTCTGATCTTAAAATTTTTTTCTTTATCAATCAATACCTCAAACAAATTTTCATCGTTCTTGTTGAAAATTGAACCATCCAGCTTGTTGATCAACTGGCTGACACCAATTACTTTTCCATGCGCATTTTTGATTGGCATGCATAAGATGGCCTTCGTCTTGAAATTAGGATCGATATCCACCTATAACATAATCAAATTAATGCGACTAGATCAGTCTCTAATGCGTCTGTCCTGTCTGACTAGAGTTTGCAATAGATGTAAAAAGAGAATAATTGATGTAAAAAGTACACATTTAATCTGTCTGGCAATTCTTTTGGTAACCAGTGATAGAACATCAAATTAATAAGAAATATCTTCACAAGAGTGCATATCTGTGTTATATGTCCTTTGGATTCATGATCAAATAACATTAAAATGGCAACATAACCAGGACCTTAGTGTAAAATCCTTAAAAACTGTCTTTGTTTAAATTATTTTTCCCACATTTCCAGTACATAAAAAAAAATTAATTGCGGCAGAATTAGTCTTTCATGAGACAGTTACATAAAGTTGATTATACTTACAGAAGGGTCAAATCTGTTATCTTCATAAGCATTGGCAATATTTAAGGTCTGTAAAGAAAAGCGAGGGATTTATTAAAACATGCATATTTAAATAAACATGTGAATTGTGTATTGTATAAAGAAATTTCTTAAGTTTCTTTAGATTATTTCCAAGCTTTCTTATTTATTCTGTATGCAGGTTGCTGGTTTGCTGAGATCATCATGAGTGTCTATGCATTTTTTATGATTTTGTGTCCTTTTTATGCATATGTTTTTGTTTTTTTTTTTTCATAATGAGAAAAAAAAATCCATGCAGAGAAATTGGAAGAAAATTAATTACATTATTAGGTTTATACATAGTTTTTTTTTTTAAGTAACCTGAAAACATACTGATTTTTTTTTTCCATGCAGATTTATACTAGACAGTACTTGTATTTCAAAAAAATATACCAGTACATGATAAATGATCAGAAGGACATTTATTTTGTCCATTTCATTCAAAAGCTAATTATTGATATTTCCTAAGCTTAGTAATTTATGAAATTGAAAAAAATAAACAACTTTTATTCTGTACTACATGCAATAGAATACTGTAATTTTGACACAGTTGCGTAAACAATACACTTGAGACTGAATTGCAAGAAATCTTTGCAGACAAATTTTATTATATTTTCAAAAATTATGCTTAGCCTATAAAAGAGAAACAGGGGATTCATGTAACAAATTTTCGTGGTATGTTTTGGGGCAATTTTAAGCGGCAAGCAATCCTTTGATCTTCTTTAAACTCTTCAAATTAACAAAATAATTTTTTTAAAATAGAAAATTAGTTATATGTTATTTCCATCAGAACCTATATTGTCACCACTGGACACTGCCTATGACAATTTAGTTAAATAGTAAGATAAGTACATAGTACTAGTACCAATATATGCATTCCAAATGACAGGAACTTTACATTAAGAAATATATACTGAAGATTTTCTGGAAAATATCTCTAAACTCAGTAGTTTTAACCAAACAATGTCAACTTAAGAAGTGTATCCTGCAAGATGTATTGCTGGCAATGTCTTTTGAGAATTAACTATCCATGTTCTTGTATAACACACCTCAATAGGAATCACAAAAAGAGAAGAATTTATGACTTTTGATCTCAAAAGACTTCTGACACTTTACTGAGTATGTTATTACAATAATCTGAGAGGCTGATGCTATCCATCATTTTGATTAAAAATTTTCTTAACTAATGAAAGGTTTTCTTGCTACCCAAAAGAATTACATCACAGACATTGTATCACTTCAAAAACTGCTTTTCCTATAGGAAAACTTATCTGTAGGCAAATTAATATCTTGCCTCTCAGGATTTAAGAGAGAAACCTTTCAAATAGTTCATTGATTTTAGAACACATATATATGATATGTTTTGCAGAAAAATGTGGCTATAATTTGATCATCCAATTCTTTTTCTGCATTAAGGGATTAAAAAAAAGATTTATATCTTTATCTCCAAACCAGACATTTCAAAGGCACACGCAATTATGTAAATTCCTTCAGCATACCTTTCCCGTTGCAGCAACATAACCAGATATGCCAATATGGATAGGAAATCTAGGTTCCGCAGGCCTGAAAAAAAAAATCATTAAAATTCTAAACTAGGATACAGAGAAACAGCTGGCTTAAACCATCTATATTCTATCTATGAAATAATTGATTCATTATATTTCTTAGTTCAAATGCATAAGACATTATTCTTTGTATACTACAATGGCAGATTCAAGGAAGGGGATTTTAAAAAAGGGAGAGAGAGATTTACACAAATAGCTTATCCTCTTCTTTCATATCTCTCCCCCCCCCCCCAAAAAAAAAAAACACTGCACACAAAAAGGAGGGGAGGGTCATATTTTGTGATTTTTTTTTTTGGCTTGTCAATTTATTTGTCATCGAGTACAATGCTGCACACTGCCCCCCCCCCCCCCCCCCCCAAAAAAAATCTGCACAAGTTCCACATGTAATTTTAAGAAATTATTTAGTAATACATTTTCTTAATAGTTCTACATATTTGATCCACTGGTCTCTTTAGTTATTTTTTGACTGTGAAGTTTTAATGAGAGTTACTTATTGTGAAGAAGTTTCAAATTTTACACTTTCATTAACAGCACTTTCGTGTTAAAGCTCTTTGTGCAAATATTGACACAATTAAAATACACAGATTCATCAATCACTTTTGGTTCTGTTAAATAATCAGAGGTAAGTTTAAATTGCTTACAAAAGTGCAGATCAATTCTATAAAATCCCTTTAATTCTATCTACTAAATCAGAATTCCACCTCATTTGTGGAGATCTATCAGATCCAGTTTCAATGTTGACAAATCATTTAAAAAAAAGTAAGAACAAAATTAGGGAAAAAAACCCAGTAAAAATCAATATTCTACTAATAAAATATAACCTTGGTGATTTGATAATTTGTGAACTAGATGTCTTTCATAGCAACAGAAAACAATAGTCATCACACAATGCAGAATACTTGCCACTCTCTGTTAAAAGTATCACTGTTGTCAAAATCTGTATTCTCCAAATCAAAGACTTGTGAAAAAATCCCCTGCAAGGAACAAAATACATTGAATGATATGAATACTCTGCGAGTGTTTAATTAAAACCAAGGTTATTTCTTTCACAGCTTCATATGTATGTGTTAACTTAATTGTAAGATGATAAATTTCATGTTATAATGGTTTTTTTTTTTCATGGTAATCTGAATACACCCCCTCCTAAAATCTTTAACATGAATAAAATTCACTTTAAAAATCCACCCTTGTGTAAATAATTTTTTCACATTGAAATTCAAAAGTTAATTTAAACCATGGCAATCAAAAATGCAAAATTGTTAATCATTCTATTAGAAATTTAAAAAAAAATGCTGCATGCTAATCAATGTTTCTTTGATGCTTAAAAGCATTAAATTCTGTGATGTTTGTGCAATTATAAACTTAATGAAATATCCAAAACATATATATTAAGTTGAAAATTTCAAAATGTTAAGATTCTACAGTAAAGAAGTGATTTTTATTAGGAACAGTATAGCAGAGTTTACTTCCATGAATTGTTAATAATGGATTGGTCTGAACATATTTAAATTATTAACAGATTATGGAAGAGGGACTGAGTACATCCCACCCTTTTACTTCACTATTCCTTCAGGGGAATTCATATATGACCCCCAAAGGGAATAAGAAAGACTGACTGAAAGACAACTGCATTTAGTAACATGTGATCAAATGAAATTTCTTTAATATTTATGATTAACACTATCTTTGATCACAGAACTATACAACCAATATCTTCTTAATGCCAAAAAACAATAACCCAGCCTTTGATATTGGATCTAATCATTATTACACAAGCTTTACTTTGATCACTTTAATACACGGGCCTTTGTATCAACGTAAAATTTTCATTTAGATCATTAAAAGCTAATTTGCTTTCCATCTGATAAAAACACAAAAACAAGCACTGTCTTTCATTTAAGGTAAAACAAAACTGACTTGTAATTGAGACCATTATTCCCGATCAAAGGTATATAAAATGTAATTAATCTAAAATTTCAAGAGGGAATTATGGGGGTCTAATGATTCACAGTACCCAGCTTGCTGGTACATCAAAGTTAGGCAAACTATTTAACAATACAGATAACTGTGATGTAAAGTATTGTACTAACGAATGCAGGACAAAAACTATAAAAGTTTAGTCTATTCTATGAAGCAATAACATGACTGAATTGGAGTGAGTACTGTATGTGTACTTAAGTATCTCGATCTTGCAGTATCTTAATTGCAGTAAAGTCTAATGTACTGCATGTAAATATGTTATAAGGACTTTAAAGTCATTTGGTCCGATTTAGAAACATTTTTCTTAAACAATAAATGTACATAAAAAAAAATCAGGTGACAATTTTTTGGGGGGGGTTAACAACATCTATAAGAGAAATTTCAGTCAAAAGCCATGTTGACAAACAAACACACAAATTATGGATATTTAATTGGTTGAGACCATGTTCTGAGTTGCGAGCAGTTTAGTCCAAGTGATTTGCCCAGGTACTCCCCTGGGTGCATTCCTAAATAATATGCTGCTTTCGGTCTTTTTTTTTCAGTTTGGGTTTCTTTTTTTACACCCAGAGTCAGAGATTTTGGAATACCCATGTGTCCCTTTGATTTCCATTGTTCAATTTGATTCAATATAAAAATATTTTTCTAAAAAAAGACTCTAAGAATATAATTTTACGAAAGTGAATTTAAAGCTTTCTACAGAGAATAATTTTTCATGAACAACCAGAAATATATTTTTTTTACCATAACAATCAGACCAAGCACTTTTGTCAAATGTTTTAATTATCATTATAAAAGAATATGCTAAAATCTACAGATTATGTAATGGTATACAATAATAAAGAATCTACATGTATAGGATTCATCAGTAGAAACTATGCATACATCTGATAGTTAATAATTATGAGTCAATAATGTGGAAAAAATAGAAATTTACAAAAAACTTTAATACCAAATAATGTGCATTAAATTAATAAAAAAGCAAAGTAAATATATACATAATGAGCCTGATGTACAAAAGTAAACCATGGGCATTTTTGCTAGCCAAGTTTTTCTGATGCATTCCCCTCCTCATAAACTCTTATTGCATGTGATCCCAAATCTTACCTCATACACACAAATTATATCATTAACAAATACAAAGACCACTTTAAATTGATTTAAAGGAAGATTCAACTAGCCAGTATATAGGATGCAAGGGTATAACACCATATCACATTATGTATTCCAACTTAAATAGTCGGATAATGCCACCGCCATGCATCCTTTCAAATTGCCCAGTTTTTGAAGAATTTCCCTCTAAAGGGGAGGGGGTGGTCATTTTAAAAATATGAATCTTTTGTGCATTAACAATAAGCATATTTAATGTACTACAGAATGAGCATTGGGATTGGCCCTCCATTGTTTATAGCTCACTGTGCAGGGTCACCCTGCCAAAAAAAATTGCTGAAGAGACTTCTCTTTTCTGTGTTTAGGAGGCAATTTCTCCCCCGTCCCCTTTTCTTCCTTTTCCTTTGTTGCCCCTCCTTGATATTTCTCTTTCATATGATGGCTAGATTGTGTGCATGCCTATTAAGCAGAACCTATACTGGCCAAAGTTTTAAGGGTATGGAAATCAGGAAAAATGCATTCATGAAAGTCCAGGACCTATAAAATTGTTATGTCATGTTATGCATAAGTGAATTAACAAAATGAAGGCAAGGCTTTGCGATTTTAATAATAAATAAAATACAATTTCCTCTTACGATCCTTTCCAAATATGATATCCTATACCTGTGGGGAGGGGGGGGGAGGATTGTTCAGAATCTCAATTTTTGGTCATTAGGCATTTTTATGCTAAGGCTGTGAAGCGTTTATGGAATGACTTTACTAATATCTTGCTGATCATAGAGTATGTGAGTGTTTCATTCCTTAGACTGTAGAGTCAAGAAATATTCAAGATGAAAAAAAATCCATTATTTTGATGATAAAATATGCCAAGGGTTTGTGAGGAGTCTAGTGGAACAGAAGCATCTGGCTAGTAGCAAAGATGCATTGGCAAAGGGAACAAGGTAAAATTAGATGTCTTACTTCACCTACATGCTTAAAAAAGTGGCTTAAAAAGATGACCTTTCAAAATTACCATAATATTCCCTTGTTAAGGATATTCTTAGAGTCCGTGATAATTTCTCTACCTTAAATTTAAAATATCTACTCAAAGCAATCAGAAGGATGAGTTAATTTTTTGTAATCTGAACCCCCCTCCCCTCTTAAGAAAAACCTGGGGGGGTTTTAAACATAATAAATTCATTTTTCATCTGTTAAGATAGTGCTGCTACATTTTGCTTACCTAGTTTGCAGAGAGAAAAAATGACTTCCACAATTTAAAAGAACCCACCAAAATCATGAAAAGGGAACCCATTTACCAGTATAAAAAATTCTGGCTTAGGAGAGGGAATGCTCCTCCCATAACCTCCCCCACTTTCCAGACACCTGGTGATGGCCCTGCTACTGAGGTAAATTGAAGTACAAATGATTATCAAAATTTGCAAATATACATTTTAACCAGGTGTAATCAAAATAATTCTTTATGTTAAAAGCTTCAGTTAAATTGAATGTTCTTGGTTTTCACCCATTGCTTCATCTAAGTTATTAAGGACTATAGCTCTTGTTTCTGAATATTAGATCCCTAAACCAATAAATATTATGTTGTATCATGAACAGAAAGCAAAGAAATACTAGTAAGTGTAATTTTTGAATCTTTGTGAATATTCTTTGCAGTTTAGTCTAGTGGCAATACACATTTATACTTCTATGACTAATCTCAGTTAATATCACTTCAAACGGTGATGGTAAGGTGCTAAATATCAAGGTGTTATAAGAAGGGAGCAAAGTTTAAGTGCAAAAACATGTCATTCTTGAGGAAAAATTTGTTTGTATTATATTTCTCAATTTGCTGGCATTAATCATCTTAATTTACATAACTTGTTACAGAAAATCTATTTTGAAATCATCAAAATTTCAAATGTATGAATATAGGCTCAAAAATGACATTTCTTGAATATTTTGAATTGCAAGTGCAGATTGAGTTATTGGTGCAAAATCTCCTTAAAATAGTCACCATGCCAAGCGGACAGTGTTTGATATTCTTCTGAAAAAGAAGTAAGCATGCCCATGTTTATATATATTGTCACGAATGGAGGCAACTTTAAGAAATATTCTACAAGCAAAGTATGCTTATTGATTTATACAGAAATTGAATTTTACCTAAACTAGAAATATTAAAATGCACCTTTCTTTGTTTACTCAAAAAGGTTAATTAATATACAGATAATTATTTTCATATACAAACATGTATGTTCAAGTATAGTATTTTGTTAAAATATCTCTCCATCTACTTGAAATGATGCATTGTGTTCTGTGGTTAATTTAGAGTGACAAATTTACTCCTAAAATACCTGACACAAACCATGAAATAGTTCATCCTTTACTACGCACTGTCACAATACATGTGTGAACTAGGTCAAAATAAAATCATTGCTGTTCCAAAAAGGAATTTAAAAAGAACAATCTAGAAAACCTTGCATTCAAAATAAATGAATAATTGATTAGTTAAAACAAATAAAAACAAACAAAAAAATGTTGGGATTGATGTATACATGATTTGTATATATCTGTTCCTACAATAAGTAGATCAGACTATGCCAATCCATATGAAGATTATAAAAATTGGGAGATGCTATCACCAGTAATTGGTTATACATATGAGACATGACAATAATACATGTAAATGAATGACTGCAATGTGCCAGTGTATGTGCTGGTACAACACTGGGGGCCCACACTTAGGTTGTCATGACAAAGGATCTATAAATAAACTGACCTTGCAGAGGTCATCAATGAGCATGACCTGGCACCTCTGACATTGTAGAAGGGACTGAGTGTGCATCATAATCTTGTAGATTAAGTTTGCTACATTGTTTTGCTCCTCAAATATTACTCTTGCCAAATCCAACAGTACCTGTAATGAAAAAAAAAACATAGGTAATCAAAGATTACAAAGCTCACCTCAATGAATGTTATCTGTAAGTATGGCAAATCTCATATCATATTTTTTTTCTAGTTAGTGTGCATCCTGAGATCAATATTCATGCAAGTTTCCTTTTTAAAGTAGAACTTAAAGTTAATTGGAAATGGACCTGCTCTAGAATTCTAACCTAATCACTAATCAAGAAAATGTTGGTCAGTTCCAGCATCAGAAGCAAGTCTTCAAGTATCCATCCTTAGATGCGACATCCAAGCAAGTTTAACCATACCAAGCCATATAATTATAGAGCTACTAAAAACATTACCCTGGTCACTCATCATCTGAAAAATATGGGTCAGATCCAGCAACCGAAGCAAGTCTGGTAGTTCCCATCCCTAGATGAATCATCCATGCAAGTTTGGTCCAAGTAGGGCTTATAGTTACTTGGGAATGGACCTCCTCCAAAAACTTTAACCTGGTCACTCATCTGAAAATGTAGGTCAGATCCAGCATCCGAAGCTAGTCTGGTAGTGTTCATCCCTAGATGCATCATCCATGCAGGTTTGGTTCAGGTAGGGCTTATAGTTACTTGGGAATGGACCTGCTCCAAAAACTTTAGCCTGGTCACTCATTTGGAAAATGTAGGTCAGATCCAGCATCCCAAGCAAGTCAGGTAGTGTCCATCCAAAGATGCATCATACATGCAGGTTTGGTCCAGGTAGGGGAAATAGTAACTTGGGAATGGACTTGCTCCTAAGACTTTAACCAGGACGCCGACGCTAACACCGATGCCGAGGGTATAGCATAAACTCATTTCGACTTTGTCAAGGTGAGCTATAAATTCAGTATAATATACACTGGGTAATTGGTTTAGTTTCCAGTATGTATTATTAGATTAAAATCTTTCTGCTTATTTGTGTTGGTTTCCATGGCAATATTCATTATGATAACATATATTAAATAGATAAGAGGGTTTTTTCTGCCTGACAGTAAAACAACTTAAATGACACTAATCTAATATGATCAACTCTCAGAATTTTGTACAGTAAAACATGTTTTTAACTATAAAATGCATACAGTGAATACCTGTTTGTAACCAAGTCAAATTTACTGGTAGTTACCAGAGAGTTTATACTAATGAAATATCAACTGGATATATACATTAGTAAAACTTGATGCTTGTAAAGAACTCTAATATAATTGATATAATATCATTCCTTATATCATAACATTCAATTCTACACATTTCAGTTATTCGACATGTCCAAAGAACTTCCTTATAAGCAAGTTTTACTTTGGTGAATTAAGGATATATTATGGCAAGATTTCTATTGCCCCTTGGCTATATCCTTGATTAACTGTACTTTGTTCATAGAAAATGCAATGCCTTTGGTGTCAGGTCATTTTTTTAGGGTCATGTACATAGGGGAAACTGAGAAGACTTTGATTAAGGCATTATAAATGAAAGAAAAAGTGAGCAAGCTCACATACCCCACGCTCCCCCAAAACTCGACAATGCAACACGTAATGAATGGCACAGTGCATTTTAAACACACAGTATAATTCAAAAAGAGGCATTACTTGCAAAAAATCATCACATCAAAACTTCTTGCATATAAGGTCATTCAAATCTTTGTATGTTACAAATTTAATTGGGCTGAAGTTTCTAGATAAATAATGGAACCAAAATTTCTTGGTAATATACAAATCTATACATTATGTCTGAAATACCTACAAAGTTTCAGAAAATTCAGTGCAGGAGTTATGCTGACAATTAAACTGTTATTTAAATTCCTCAGTGATTTTGATTTGTTAATGAGTGTAAGTCCATGTCCAACACATGGCAATTTACACATTTAAATAATTGATGGAAACAAAATTATGATGTAGTCATATGAATTTGTTTATATACTGTACTTATGAAATTATTTAAGGCAAAGTACCAATTTGAAGGGGGGGGGGGGGGGGGGGGGAGAACTATCCAAGATTGTGTGTGTGTGAAATCATTAATATTTTTTATCTCAAAATCAATAGGGGTCTTTTAAGGTCATAAAATATTTCACATAAAATTTCATTACAAAAGCTGATTCCAGTGGATTTCCTTATTACCTAGCTGGAAAGTTTCTTCAATAATAGGCAAAACTCTTAAGGCAAAAATAATGGAATCGGAATTTCCTGGTAATATGCACATCTACACACTGTGTAATAAATATCTGCAAAGTTTGACCAAATTCTGTGCAGCGGTTAAAGAGGAGTTGCACTAAGAAACTGTTCATCTCTATATTCAAAATATGGCCAAAAATCTAAGTTGAAAAGTGCCGAAATTCCGAGAAACATAAAGGCACTGCAGCTCCCCCGTCTGTCAATATTTTTTTTTTCGGAGAGCTACAGTTCTGCAGCTAACCATTAGGTTGGACTCTGGAAAATCCAGAAGTTGGGGAAAATGGAAAAGTTAGAGAAAGCCCCCCTCCCTGAAAGAAGTAGGATTGTTCTTCCGAGATTGGGCGGTGTGTGTGTGTGTTTGTTTTATTTTTGTTAAATTGGCTTCACGATCACTCCTGCCCTACCCTTACCCTCCCTTTACCTAATTTGAAAAAAAATTTCCATGGGTCTGCATGCTTAATAAGTAGACCAGCCTCTATGTGTCATTCAAATATGAGAATATTTTTTGTTGAAATATTAAAATATTCCATACAAGTTAATTATCAGAAATACTTAGTACCTGTCCATGACATCTTTCCAAGTCAAAGGCTAAAAAAATATTACTTGAGGGGATAGAAAAAGTTAAACACACTTAAAGGTCATATGAAACAATGTCCAGAGCATTTTGGGTTGTATACGGAAATGAGTTCATCTGAGCTACTTTAATAAGCCTGAAATTATATTTTGAATTTTTTATGCAAGTTAGTGGCAGCAGAGTCGATCAAAATTACTCGACTGCAAAAATGAACTTCAACTAGCGCGGCTTATCTCCCTTTGCTTATGACGTCAGTAAGACCCAGTCGTACATTCAGTACTAACATTTACACAACCGATCACGTCTTTTGCAGCGTAAATTTTAAGAAACATCATTATTTAGGCTAAAACGTCGCATAAATATACGATATTCAAACAAGATAGTATTTGTCTTTTAACATCCTACTGCATATTTGCAAGATATTAGTATGTTTTATCCACAGGAGTTCGCATACCTATCAATTTTACCGAAATTTTCAGTAAATATAAAAGATACGTAATACCTATAATAATAATACGTGTTATTATTATAGGTATTACGTATCTTTTATATTTAGTGAAAATTTCGGTAAAATTGATAGGTATGCGAACTCCTGTGGTTTTATCTGTGTAATTTATTGTCGTCCTTCGAGACTTCAATCGACAGAGAGAGATGATACTATAAAGAGAGGGGGTCTGTACTCGAGTAAGTGAATATAGACGCTGTCAAATAATTTACAATTGAATAAATTTCTTACATAAGAATACTGATAATTTGTTTTCTGATTAAATTTTTAAGCCATGATTAGATGATGCTATCTACATGTAGGTACTTGGTAGCACGCGCATTTATAAAGCTGAATTCGATTGACCGCGCTGTGTGTGAAAGTGAAACTAAACCTGCATATAAATGATTTCATTTATTTATGGGAAATGAAATGATTCTACTGCTTTCTCCCGTTCTGAATCACTTTTCTCTCTTTGGTTTTCCCTGTCTCGATGACCCCCCCCCCCCTCTCTCTCTCCATATTTTTTTTCTTACCAAAAAGTCGGTACATATACGCATAACACTGTAACTATATTATCGTAATAATTTTAAAAAGTCAGACATTAAACGTAATTCTATCTATGTAATCCTACTTTTCTGTATGTACAATGTATATATTTACAGACAGTTTATTTTAACACAGATTATTATATAGTCTGGTTTAAAAAAAAAAAGTTGAACTGTAAAAGTATTAATTTTGAGAATTAATTATTCAGGTTCAGTCTCGCAAATAATGGGGGCATGGATTTTTTTTAACTGATCAATTTATGCACGAAGTGTATGAGTATTTTCAAACTGCAATTGCTCAGCCAAACTGTAAGAAGTATCAGCACCGTAACATTACAGTGTATGTATATACATTCTCGTAATGCAGGTAAGTTTAGAGCCATTTTTTTTTTAAAAATCATGCTTCTTGTGACAGCAAAATTACGGTGATGTCGTCATAAACCCCTATTTCTATATCGTTTTTACATTAGTCCTCGTGTTTCAGATTGCAGAAAGCGTGCATTCAAATACGCCGACTTTTCATTGATCCATGTTTATCATGAACTTCAATAGCCCTGTGTTAATTTGGGAAAAAAAAGGGGGGGTTACTCTTGAGCTACATATTTTTCCCTCTCAATATATGACACAACTTTACAGATTTTGCATGCCCATTAAATTTTTTTATTGTAAGAAGCTTAAGGTCAACGTTAATTAATTACGCTGTTTTTATTGTTAATTATACAATTTTACTGGGAATGGAAAAAAAATATATCACATACGTTTTAAACAGAAATAAGAAGATTTTAAATTGTTTCTAAAGTATTAATTTAAAATAAGTAATCAAAGTTGGAGGAGAAAAATCTTGATTTCTAAGGGGTATTCATCAGGATCATCCTGCGATTAAAAGCTCATATGGAGAAATGGTGTTCATTCTTCTCATTTACATATCGGCCATATTGGAGCTATAATGGCGACACATTCCTTAAAGGTTTATATAGAGGACGAACAAAAACCTGCAGATTTTTATTTACTAACTATTTTGGATAAAGTTCTTCCGCCGATGTTAAGATTTTTCTTAATATCTTCTACCGGAAATGACAATATTGTTGATGCTAAAGTGAAAGTTGCGACCGCCTTTTTGGTTTGAAATTCCGAAGCGAGAGTATAATGTTTAAATGAAGGAAAGAACACAGAATTGGTGTCTTTATCATTTTTTGTGATTAAATGTAAGTGTTTATTGCAAGTTGACAGAGTTCTTCCGCCGATTAATAGGTGCAGACGAATGCCTATTTTTATAAAATACAGATGATTTATCATTTCATGAAGAGTTACGACCGCCTTTTTAATTTGAAAACGGCAATTTCTTGCATCAGTGTGACCTACTTATTACCAAAACAGATGGTTTAATGAGTTGTCAACTGTTAATAACCCAAAATTCTGCCCAAATAACTATTACGGATGCTTAAAAAAAAAACAAACAAAAAAAAACTGTGCTTGCAGGTTTTAATATAAAAATTTAAAGAAATGGAATATATCGAGTTTATGCAGGATCTTATGAATATTAATGAGAAGTAAATCACGTGGGAGCAACCTCATGAATAAACTGTACATCATTTCTCCATATGTCTCGTTTTCAGTTGCTGTGTCTAATTAACGATTAGTTCAAATAGAGTAAACTGTACTTTAGAATCAGATAGCTCATCTGAATACATAATCACATTTATACTCACAAAAATGACTAAAATTAACTCAATAAAATACGGTTAAATTACACTAGATCTAATGCGTTATTTACATCAGTGGGTCTTTGTGACGTCATAAAAACACAAAATCAAGAACGATAAGCGGGTAACAAATTTATCAAGTGGACACGTTTAGGCCTTCATTTTTCAGTTAAGCAAAGGCAAAATTTTTTTACTAAACATGATTTGACATTCTTTCATACCAGTCTTTATGTTTAAAAAGTAAAATCCTAGTGTTAAGAATCGTTTCATATGACCTTTAACAACGTCTATTCCCTTCAAATACATGTTCATACTCTCATTCTTATTTAAGAGAGGTCAATCCTTTTATCCTTGGAGGGGGGGGGGGGTCCATGGTCATTTTTTTTGGTTTCTTCTGCATAGGAATTTAGTAACTTTATAGTTCTAGGCAATTGTCCATGACTTACAAGATGAAAGTGGAATGGATAGGAATTAAAATTGGACTATGGAATAGAGCCTTCATGAACATATCATATTTGTTAGCGAGACAAGTTAATGAGTTTTAAGGCTGATATCCAATGTAAACTATCCAGAGTGAATTCTGTGCATTTTTTAATCCTTTAAATTTTTTCTTCACAAAATAGAACAATTTTTTTTGCGTGATTCTTTTTTTTTGGGGGGGGGGCATTTTAAATGTCAATGAAATTAGCTTAATTTATGAAACAACCAATCCTGGATGAGGAGGTATATGTATTGGGGTGTATTCAAGGACCTTTGATTTGTACTACATATTGCAAACGTCGCACCTTATGAAACAGGACAGAAGCCAAACATAGCAATTACAGGTGCCAAGAGTCGCAAAAACAGCAACCATACTCGCACTGTCATTAGAAAACTTTATACTGCATCAAAAGTTTTAATCTTGTGAAACATTACAGACATAGGAAATCATAAACAATTCAAATGTGATATACTCATATCACTTTTAACACAAATAATATAGTGTAAATCGTGTTTATTATGAAAATTGGAAATATGAATAGATCCAGTAAAATACATTAAACGGATGTAATCTAAAGCAGTTACTGGATTGCTCCTTACACATGTTCAACGAACAAGCAATTCTACTGCATATAATCATAATGAACATTAATAATTATGACTTAATTAAATGTACTATAAATTCTGAACGTTTAGTTGACATATACTGCCTCATTGATGTAAACCAATGGTAGCGGGTGTCTGAAACCAAGATTTTCTCGATTCGCACATTACCAGCAGTGAGAAGGATATTTAGGGAGGATTCAATCCTGGCATTATAAGCAAGTGTCACTTCAAATTTTTAATATATCATCACCAACAATTCATTTATCATCAGAGGGAATAGTAGACTATTTTGGCATCATAAAATTGATAAAATTTCTTCTCACTAAAATTATACATGGATTTTTAAGGACATAACCCTAAATTAGCATCTCACTAAAAATTCCACATATACACTTTATAAATGGCAGTCCATGTAAACTGACCTGATTTCGTCTATTTTCCAGCAGTGATTTTTCATATAATTGAGCATTTTTCAATCCTATGCCACAAAATGCCATGTAGCTGGAAAAAATCTGAAATGAAAAACACCAAGGATTAATAAGATTCTTAAAATGTATCATATTATTATATTTATAAAAATGTGACATATTTACATTTATATTGCTATTACTGTAAACATACTTCTTTTAGCTGTAATGATATTTTAGTGCTATTCAAGTACATGCACACTCTAATACATGATTTAAGCTAGATAGCTAAGGAAGATTGGTTCCAAATGTGCTGATTGATGAAACTGAAAATTTAAATACAAGTAGACTCCAATCTGTAGAGCTTATATAGTAAGCAACTGCATCAGTCTAGGTATGAACCAAAAATCTATTCAATATACTAATAATAATAATGAATGAATTCCATCATTGTGCAAGCTTCACCTTTTGTTCGCCTGAGGTATATACATTTGTGTCAGAAATAAACTTTAAACTTCTTCATAACGAATTCATTACTTTTTAAGCTGATGACCTTTAACTTATTAAACTTAAGCTAGATTCAGAACATAAGCAACCTTCAAATCATGCATGCATCTCCAGCTAAAAATCTAAAGCCTAGACACTTAAATATTTCTTTCTGCAAGTGTCATTTAACTTGCTTTACTGTGGAAACATCATTGTTTCTGGGGGGACTCTTTCATACAAATTTTACATCCCTATGAATCAATGACTTTACCAGTGAATCAGTTCATTGAATCTTCTGTATTAACCAATAACCCAGAAAATTACATCCCTAATAACTAGTAAAATTTTCTTTGCCATCAAGCACTGAAATCCCCCCCCCCCCCTTTAAAACGATTCCATTTTTGTAACATGTTCATTTTATGATTACAACAATTACTCAAAGCACCACTGCATGCTTTCCAGTGTTTTCATTTTCTTATGGAAACTTTTCATTTTAAAACAGTGGGCCTGAATTTGTAAGATGATTTCATTTCAAGGTTTTCAAGAAAGACTGGAATTAAAACTCCCTCCATGAGCAATACAGATCCTGCAGCAAAGAACATTATCTTCTAAAATAGCTTGCAATGAAAGAATAATGAAGATGTATTTCATGTCAGGCCTGAAGAATTCTGCACTGACTGAGATTAGATGGGGCTTTGTAATTATTTCATGGATTTTACTTTTTAATTTCTTTCTAGGTTTACAACTGATTGGCTATTTGGAGAGGAATTCCAAATCAATTCCCTTGCAATCATCTTTCATCAGGCATTCAATCATAAAAATTGGAGACACCAATTTTGATCCCTCTGGGATTTTTCAAAGGAGAAGCTGGGGAAAATTAGAGAAAATGATAGGGGAACATTCTGGAGGCAGCAAATGTAGAAATTCCATCAACCTGCCAGTTTTACAAAGGCCATATTGAAATTCATGTTCCATTAAGGAAGTCACTAAAATGAATGCATAACATTTACTTGTGCTTGAAACATAGAATGGTCATTATCATGGTTAGTATAATGAAAAACAAGACAAATTCAACGTAGTTTTCTTTTGCATCAGATATATATTGGTAACAACAACTGGAAAAATCAGCAAAACTGTGGTTCTGAGACAAAATCTACAGTGGCAAACTGCTTATATATGAAAGTTCCTTTATATTTTTGCATGAACTTGAATGATGTAATGTGACATAACAGAAGTCTTTTCATTAGTTTGAAGGGTCTTGCTTTGAACAATTGAAATAGCAGCCAGTTTTAGCTGCATAATCTGCCAAGGGTTTTTAGGAAGTGCAGCAGTCCAAAAAAAAAAACCAAAACCCTGGTTTAATTATGAAGTAGCTACAGAATGGTAACTGTCAAACACTAAAATATTAAAAAAAAACCATAATGCTAGAGTTCTGCGGCTACTTATGAAGATGTATAGAGTCCAAAACTGCAGGAGATAAACTTTGTAAAAAAGAATATAATAAATTATAAAATTTAGTAACCAGGACAAAGCATTCTTCAAATTTAAAAACAAATAAAAGAAATAATGTGTTTTGTTGTAGTCTACTTGTGTACCAAGTTTTATTGAAATTGGTCCAGATTTTAGGAAGAAAACATTTTGAGGTATTGTTGACAGAAAAACAGACAGACAGAAAACAAATGGATTACAGACACACTGTTGGTGACAAGTATAGCTAATATTGTAAAACTGATCCCCTATTGTAGCCTAAACCTATTCCAGAGGGCCCTGATCTGAACAAACTTGAATCTAACTATCTGAGGAAGCTGGCATATCAATATGACTAATGACTTTGGTGTTCATAAGAGGAAGAATTTTAACAATTTTTCTTATAAATTTCTGTATAAAACTTAGATCTCCTATTGTGGCTCCCCCTCTCCCAGAGGGCATGATTTGAATAAACTTGAATCTACACTACCTGAGGATACTTCAGTATACCGTAAATATAACACTTCATGGTTTTGCTGTTCTTGAGAAGATTTTAAAGATTTTTCTTATATATTCCTATGTATAACTTTGATCCCCTACTGTGATCCCACCCTACCCAGGGGGTCATGATTTGAACCAACATGAATTAACAATATGTAATGAATTCGAAGCTTTCAAATAAGTTTCATCTTTTCTGGCAAAGTGGATCTTGAAAAGAAGATTTTAAAAAGATGAGGATAATAGGTATATATTGTAGCCCACAACAATATGTACAGGATGATAAAATGTATTATTAAATGACTGAATAATTCTTAGCTTTCTAATTCGCTGATATCCAACATTGTAGAAAATACTACATTGTAGATATACTATCTTATGTTCACCTGCACGTGACCTTCCAAATGAACATAAGGATTTATTTTTTTCTATATTGGACTAAATATAGATCAGGAAATTCCAAACTGATACAAATAGTTCTGGAAAGTTATTTCACTAGCACCTGACTTCTACTCAGGTGAACATATTATTCAGGGACATAGAATTGAGGATGGGGTGGGGTGGAGGTGCATGGGGGATTGCCCCCTCCTCCCACTTTTTTCTTAATGTAAAAATTACATTTAATCTAGTATAAAAGTGTTCATTGAAAGGCTGGTTTGGAGTTTGGAGAATTCTCCTTGTTTTGGGGGACTAGTCAATTTTTTCTCTCCAGGTACCTGCAAGTTGTCAATTTTTTCCCTTATAATCCCCCATTTTAAAATCAATACTTCATTTAATTATTTTTTCTAGATCACAACTAAATTTGATTTTAAAAATTTCAAATCAGTAAAACAGGTTATGTTTATTTTAACTTCACTTCTCTCATTGTATTTGCTAGGTGTTCAGCAATTGTAAAGAAGTAAGATGGTATGGAATGCTTAAACAAGTTTGTACAATGTATGCTGACTTTTTGTCAAAGAACATATGATACTGCTATGTTTCTTAATTAAGAATATCTAGGAAAATTATCAGTGGAAAAAAACTAGGTTTTCTTTACCTTTTTAATAAGAGAATATACCGTATATACTCGCCTATAAGTCGGATTTTTGGGAGTTAGACTTTGGTCCAAAACTCTATGTCCGACTTATAGGCGAGTTATAAAAAGATTGGTATTTTAGAAGGTCAATCCCTCTAATATAAGCTTCAAAAATACAACAGACTTACAGGCAGACCGACTTATAGGTGAGTATATACGGTAATCTAATACTAGCATTTTTTCTAATACATTATATTTGAAGGTAATCTAATTTGAAAATGCAGGTAAAATCTTTATGACTTTCACCTGACAAGAATTTTCAAATCAAATTAATTAAGTACAACATTTTTCAGACTAGAAATAGAATTTAAATTCAGGTGATGTAAACTGTAGCATGAAAATATAGGTACAACTCACATGTAATTACTTGACACAAACATGATTTTGCCCTCAGAATCTAATGTTCATTAACATTTTTTTTTTTGCTTATTAACTCCAAGTTATTATAGCTTTCAGCCTTTATTAACTCTGTATCTTTTCCCCCACACATAGCTTTCTTATGCAAATGAATCTACAGTTTGTAGGTCTTACAGGATATATAATTTACCTTTACCAAGGATTAGCAGTGATTTCTTGTTCAACATCATATAGAAATTTCATATTTTGTACAAAGATATAAAAATAACAGGGAACTGTCTTTTCGGCTTTCCACTAATTAGAGGCTTAGTTTTCACACCAGACTGAATTTTAACAAATCCTCAATCTATAAATGATGAGAATTCTGATTTGAAAGGCTGTGGGTTTTTTTTTAAATTAAGACAAACTAATCAATAGTTGGGTCAGTAACAAAAATCATTTAATAAACCAGAAGATAAGACATTGCCAAACTTGAGTGATAGAAAGGAATGAATTGGGTACATAATGCTTGCTAATGTAAAAAGGAAGAGAGAAAATGTGACAGCACAGCCCAAGAGTCAAAGCTGGGACCCTCTAGACAGGTGCTCTACAAACTATCTCGCCTTATATGTCTTCATTCCTTAAAAAAAGCACAACCTTGGTAGGCCCTGGAAGTTCAAAGATGGTCAACGGCACCAAGTAATAACAAAGAGAGAAAATGTGACAGCACAGCCCAAGATTCAAAGCTGGGACCCTCTAGACAGGTGCTCTACAAACTATCTCGCATTGCCCGCGTGGCGCAGTGGTTAGAGCGTCTGCTCTAGAGTCGTGAAGTAAGGAGTTGATCCTTACATCGCGGGTTCGAATCCCACTGTAGGACGTGGAGACCGGTCATTCGGATGAGACCGTATAAACCGAGGTCCCGTGTTGCAGTAGGTGCTGGCACGAAAAAGATCCCTCACTGCCGAGTATAGGACACAATTTGCAGCTCTCCACCGGCAAGTGGTGGCGTCTCCATACGAGTGAAAAATTCTCAAGAGGGACGTTAAACAATACACAAACAAACAAAACAAACTATCTCGCCTTATATGTCTTCATTCCTTAAAAAAAGCACAACCCTGGTAGGCCCTGGAAGTTTAAAGATGGTCAACGGCACCAAGTACTACTCAGTAACAAAGAGAAAAAATATGACAGAACAGACCAGGATTTAAACCAGTGTCCCCTGAATTCTAGATGAGTACTCTACAACCTGAGCTTTCTGGCCATCAGTAATTGAACCAGCCTGATGGCCACACTTGCCTCAATGGATACATACCAGTACTTGGACATGCTTACCTTTTCATCATAAGCATTAAAAGGCTCATCCTTGCTGTTGATCCTATTAATAGCCTGAGCCACACCTATGACTACTCCATCACTGTCTTTAATTGGTGTACTCAAAATACTACGAGTCCTATAACCCATCTGCAGGTCAATTTCATTATTAAAACGTGGATCCTGTAATTAAAAAACAAAATGCATTGATATACAATGTATATAATGTGACTGCCTTTTTATATAGCCTGGAAAGTAAATCACAAGTAAAAGTTGATAGCTCTAGTCACAAGTAAAAGTTGATAGCTCTAGTCACAAGTAAAAGTTGATAGCTCTAGTCACAAGTAAAAGTTAATAGCTCTAGTCACAAGTAAAAGTTAATAGCTCTAGTCACAAGTAAAAGTTAATAGCTCTAGTCACAAGTAAAAGTTGATAGCTCTAGTCACAAGTAAAAGTTGATAGCTCTAGTCACAAGTAAAAATTGATAGCTCTAGTCACAAGTAAAAGTTGATAGCTCTAGTCACAAGTAAAAGTTAATAGCTCTAGTCACAAGTAAAAGTTGATAGCTCTAGTCACAAGTATAAGTTGATAGCTCTAGTCACAAGTAAAAGTTAATAGCTCTAGTCACACTCAAGTAAAAGTTGATAGCTCTAGTCACAAGTAAAAGTTAATAGCTCTAGTCACAAGTAAAAGTTGATAGCTCTAGTCACAAGTAAAAGTTAATAGCTCTAGTCACACTCAAGTAAAAGTTGATAGCTCTAGTCACAAGTAAAAGTTAATAGCTCTAGTCACAAGTAAAAGTTGATAGCTCTAGTCACAAGTAAAAGTTAATAGCTCTAGTCACACTCAAGTAAAAGTTGATAGCTCTAGTCACAAGTAAAAGTTAATAGCTCTAGTCACAAGTAAAAGTTGATAGCTCTAGTCACAAGTAAAAGTTAATAGCTCTAGTCACAAGTAAAAGTTGATAGTTCTAGTCACAAGTAAAAGTTGATAGCTCTAGTCACAAGTAAAAGTTGATAGCTCTAGTCACAAGTAAAAGTTAATAGCTCTAGTCACAAGTAAAAGTTGATAGCTCTAGTCACAAGTAAAAGTTGATAGCTCTAGTCACAAGTAAAAGTTAATAGCTCTAGTCACAAGTAAAAGTTGATAGCTCTAGTCACAAGTAAAAGTTGATAGCTCTAGTCACAAGTAAAAGTTGATAGCTCTAGTCACAAGTAAAAGTTGATAGCTCTAGTCACAAGTAAAAGTTGATAGCTCTAGTCACAAGTAAAAGTTGATAGCTCTAGTCACAAGTAAAAGTTAATAGCTCTAGTCACAAGTAAAAGTTGATAGCTCTAGTCACAAGTAAAAGTTGATAGCTCTAGTCACAAGTAAAAGTTAATAGCTCTAGTCACAAGTAAAAGTTGATAGCTCTAGTCACAAGTAAAAGTTGATAGCTCTAGTCACAAGTAAAAGTTAATAGCTCTAGTCACACTCAAGAAAAAGTTGATAGCTCTAGTCACAAGTAAAAGTTAATAGCTCTAGTCACAAGTAAAAGTTGATAGCTCTAGTCACAAGTAAAAGTTAATAGCTCTAGTCACAAGTAAAAGTTGATAGCTCTAGTCACAAGTAAAAGTTGATAGCTCTAGTCACAAGTAAAAGTTAATAGCTCTAGTCACAAGTAAAAGTTGATAGCTCTAGTCACAAGTAAAAGTTGATAGCTCTGGGTGTTTCATGAAAGCTATTATCTGTTTAAACCACGCAATACCAACAAATTCACATTTTTGGGGGTTTGATTTCCCAATTCTTATGATTCGTTTCTGACCTCAGTGTTTGACCTTGACCTCATGTGAAACCTTGCTAAAATGAAAAATAATTTTTACATGCAATTACAAAAAAAAAAAAAAAAATGGAACTGTATTTTGAAGGTGTACTTTTTACAAAGAAATTCAATGTCTGAAACACACAGTTACTAGGATTGTTTCATTTCTATCACAATCTTGGAAATACAGTGAGGCATTATAAGATAAAAAGAATCAAAATAAATGATATTTTATTTCCTTCCTCGGCCATAAGTAATCATTACATTCTGCCATCTCTTGTCCAGGATTAACAATTTTATGCAAATCTAGCATTGTGACATGGAAACAAGACATCAATTTCCAGAGAATGTCATTATGAAATAATGGAGGCATGCGAGATTTTTTTCTCTCATTTATTAAGACTGCTAATATGAGAGAGCTTTTTCCGGCAACAGTTGTCACTGCCACACATGAGAGGTAGTTGTCCTAGTGATCAATTCATGACTGCTTTGTCACCTCTGCTCAGTAGAGTGTATTACAGCAAGCTTAATGTAGAAGCCATCTATAATGGCATTTAGAGTTGCCATCATAACTTTTTCTCTTTGCTTCCTACAACACTTGTCGGCTTTTATGTCACAGACATGATGCACCACTCAAGTCTACTGTAAATAGTTGTCTAGGTCATTGCAAAGCCAATAAATTGATTTTCATGTCATTATATACTTGAGATAAGTTCCAGTCCTTTTAATGGATTTGTCGAGTTTCCACCTATAGATGATGCTTTTTACATAATATGCTGATACTGACTTTAAAATTAGAAAAAAATGTGAAATGATAGGAGATCAAAGGAATTCAAAATACATTTTCATTAATTCTTAACATAGTAAAAGAAGTTTCCTTCCCAATAAAAAGATTTCTCTTTCTCCTCACTCTCTCTGAGAGCTGACATAGTAAGCTCAGCGACACCACTGCAATGGTCCCTGTGCAATTTTTTTTTCTTTGTTTTTTTAATGAGATTAAAAATGCTTGAGGAAGTTACAAGTACTAATTCAGCAGTTTCTACACTGTAGGAAGTTTTAATATACTTTTATAAATATGAAATACCCAGTACATGTATCTGATTTTCATATCGCAATATATTATTGTTGTGGGTCATACCACAATATACCAATAATATTGCACAATTAATTCCCTTATAATTATATAGGCACATTATCCTGTTCTCTAAATCTTATATATTTTCCAGTATATAACCTAGCTTCTAGAACTTACACAATGGCTAATTATGTTATCAAGTTTGGGCTTCATGCATTTCATTACAATAAGTCTGAGCCTTGCTAATATCATGGAATCTTCATTAGAACGTACACTTGACTGTTCCAACTGATAAACAGACACATATTTTCATTTACAGTAGTGCTGGAAATTTATTTATCTCTTTCTACCTTCCCTTTCTTTTAAATGAAAGATGTTCAAGCATCTATGTGGGGAAAAAAAACGTGTTCCACTGCAAATGTTAAGTGCCTCATTCCTAGATTGGAAAGATCTGCATGTTAAATTTGACCTTGAAAAAAAAAAGTATATTCCAGCATGTTTCTAATACTACAGGCAACCTATTTTTTTTCAACAGAGATCTAGAGCCTCTTCAAGTTGACAGTGAACGCCCATCAACATAAAAGATGACAGCCTTCCCACATGTCTGAAGAATTATACTGCCATTTTCAAGCATTATTAAGACAGCAATTAAATTTCAAGAGCATTTAATGACTTAATAAAGCCCCGAAACCTGACTGTACTAGATTTTTACAGAATACAATGAGAACTTTTATCACTGCTTAAAAAATTTTATTTTCACACTCATTTCATGTGCAGATATGAAACAGAATAAACCTTATTTGTTTCAAACTTACAAATGAACATTTTTTGTATTTATTGCTTACTATCTATGGTCATCTGGGGTGAGAACATTTAAGGGGACATATCATTATATTTAAAATCATTTCTGAAATTTGACATGTAATTGCTAGCACGTCCAACATGGAAAACGTTAGAGTTTCTCACCTAGCTGCAGTCCTTTTTAAGGTGACCATGCCTATCATCTGCTTTAGGCCAGAGTTTTTTTATTTTCTGTTTAACGGGAATTTTTAAGAAAAAGTCGGGTCGAGGGGGCGAAATAAAATAAAAATAAAAAGTTCAAAATTTGTCGAGTCGAGACCATAAAAAAAATAAAACCCAAAAATGGTACAATTTTTTTTTATATATAAAATGTTGAAAAATGAAAGGAAACACCATAAAATTTTGTTTATCATTTATTTGGATTTCAAATATGGAAAATAGATACAACTAACTATATGCATGTGTCATCCTAATGTGGTTAATTACACTAGTAAATTCTAGTATGAAAGCAAAACAATAATATCTTATAGTTTGAATTATTATACAGCAAAATAATATTGGATACATGGATAACAGAAAAATCCACACTGCTTAAAAATTTATAGATGTATTCTGGTGGTCATCTCCTACTGTATAAAATTTATAAAAGTAATGATAAGAAATGTTTTAAACTACATATATTATGATTAAACTAAAGTCTTGAGAAAGAGATGGGGTTGATAGCTAACTTGACAATGTGTTCCTAGTATAGGGCTAACACATTCTTGAGGTTCGGAATGGAATTTGTCAGAAGAAATTATTTGATGAACAACAGTAAAGTCATCTTGGAAGTCTTCTGAACTCTTCACAAATGGTTGGGTCTCCACCAAGAAATCAAACTGCAAAAAAATTGCATTGTTCCTTTAAGATACTTTATTAATAAAATCAAATACATGTAGTAAATCTTAGAAAGTTAGAAGATAAAAAACAGTATTTACATGAGATTCTTTTCTTTTCTAAATGGAGATACAGAACATTTTTTAAGAGAGTTTTTGATAATAACACATTTCTTATATTATAAATATAATAATTTTATTCTTTGTTCAATTTGCATTTAAAATATTAAATTGAACAATTTGTTGACTTAATTCTTTCTATCTCTACCTTTCCACAGGAAAATGTGTGCAACTCCAATTAGCTGTCACTTGTCAGTGTTAGTTACATGTATATTCTTTTCCAACTCTCGTAATTTTGTTGGAATCCTGGTCTCATTTAATTCAACCAAGCAGACATGGACTTGTATCTAAAATATTTTAATCGTCATTTTAAGTCCCTGATATAGTTAAATACCATTCATCGTAAAATTATATTTTACCGCGAATTTTACCTCAATTTGTTATGTGATCAATTAAATATACAGTATAAACATCTCTATAAGAAGAAAGAAACGTATTAAAAAATGTTAACCATCGAACAACTGTAACAGAAAATTTACTAAGACGTCTCAAAACTTACCCCCAATTCTTT